TAAAAATTAACTTCACTACAGTTAAAATAAACCCCTGTTTTTATAAGTCATGCAACGATGAAGTATAAACAAGAAATGCAGCTCGGCTCTATCGGTTGAAAGCTGAGGTCCAACAGAAATCTTAGTCGGAAGCTTTAGAGAACTTCACTGATACTCCGAGAAGATGCAGCGAAATTCTGCAAGTACAATGGGATTTCCGCACGTGACCAAACGCAAGTTCTATTGGAAGCTGCTAGAAATTCAAAAAATTTATACAAGGATCCCGTTGTTTAGCTTCGCAAGTAAAAATTGACTTGAGGGAATTCTTAATATTGAGCAGCTTGTCCAAATTGGTTCTTATAGTATCGTATGTCAAGATATTCGCCGAGTGTGACGTACAGGGTCTCACAAGGGATTGCGAATAGCGACAGTGTGAAAGTTGCATAAGGATTTCTAAGACTTGTAGACGAATTTCTTCTCTTATGTGCAACATAAAAAAGCGTGCAAAAGTTTTACAGTTTATTTAACAGGGTGACGGCAATATTCTTACGTCGAACGGATGGAGTCGCGTCAAATCACGTGCTAGCTTCAAACTATAAGCATAACAACAAAGGTTTTTCACCTAAGTGTACCCTGTCTCCCGCTTTCCTCAGCTGTCCATGTATGTATCAAGCTTGGGTTATTTAGGTTATTCTTACCGCGCTACTGATTTCAAATGACCAAAAGTGGTTGAACTCAAGAAAAACGTGGTTTGCATCTGCAATTTTACTCTAAATTTTGTAACAATTAACCCATTAAAAATCGTTTTTGTGCACACATTCTGAGGATGACTTTGGATTGAAAATTAAACTCTCGCATAAATTTACTTATGTGCTGTGCCCTACGTTTCTGTGGCACACAAATAGAAATACAACATTGAAGCTCTGTATGCAGTTTGCAATGTGAAGAGGGATAGATAAGAAAATTAGGTCTGGAGGGTGATAATGCAAGTTTGCAGTAAGAAGATCGCCTGCGTTCGATCGCCGGGAGGAGTAGGAGGATGGGTTGGAAAAATTAGGATATAGATAAGCCTAAATTGCAAAAGAATTTAACTATCCAAATTTCACAATTCTACTTTTGTCGTGAACAGCCCAGATGGCAAGCAGAGGCATTTCTTATAGAGCAAGCAGTTGTGCAAACACTGAGTCCCTGCATAAACCTTTGCTACATTCTGCTCTATCATTCAATTCGTACATCTTTAGTATTTTGAGAATGCGAGAGATAAGGGAAGAAAAAGAATTTTGTTGGCTTTCTCAAAGTTGTGACTTTAGAAGTTTTTAAATCTGATACACCGATGTACGAAAGATCTTCCAATCAGTTGAAAAATTTTATTTCTCTCTACCGAATTTGCAATTTCCGGGTCCATTGATAGTACTTTTTAGTTTTTAAAGACAATAACATCTGAGTCCACATTCTGGCAGAATAATTTATCTTATTTGCTTCAAGGAATGACTTTAGGAGGTCCTTGGAAACTCCTGTATATCTTGGCAAAACTCAAAAGCTTCGGTGAATCTCCACCGAAGTTCTACTAAGAGCAAAACTCTGATTACAATGCGAAGTTTAAAATGCATTCGCTAGCTGTTCTGCTTATTTTCAAAGTGTTAAGACTAAGGTTTAGAGTTGTGACAATTCTTACAGATGTCAGTTCTCAATTCCTTATCATTTTTTTCCAATATTGATTCCACCATTCCTTTCTGTAATAGTACTAAACAAGCTGCATTCGCTAGCTGTTGACTACTGCTTGTTCTGAGAAAGCGTTAAGAATGAGGATCTATTATTCAAAATAGTTTTCCATGCTCTTAGGTACGCGCCTAATTGATGAGTTGGTAAAATTTGAAGCTGGGTTGACATGCATTAAATAGAAATATTTTTATCATTATGTGCAATCAAAACATGGAATTCATAGAAAACGTCGTTCCTCCTTGGCAAAAATCGTTTGTAGGTTGAGCACACCAATGTTGAACAAACGTTTGGGTGATTTTCCGCTGGAGATGTATTGGCTAGGAATGCGGAACTTCACTTTCCGCAGGCCAGGCTAAATAAATTAAAATTTATTAAAGCCGTAACGCTATACAAGTTACGAGTTCGATTACAGGTATTACCAATTTCTCGTCGTCACAGTCGTGATAAACTTTGAACACAGGATCGATGTTGGTAAGCTCAGTTTCCGAGCCCTCAAAGGAAAAAAAACTATGAGACGACAGTAGATCCCTGAGAAGTAGAAGCATAAATTATACTTTGTGCCTTGTTCTTGTTAGCAGAAACTTACCTCAATGAAGAATTGGATGAAAGGGGTTGGATAAATTTAATATAATAGATAATAAAAATAATAGTTAAATCAATTAATAAACTTTGAACACAGGATCGATGTAAGCTCAATTTCCGAGCTCTCAGAGAAATGAAAAAATATGAAACGACTTTTGAGCGATGTAGTAGCATAAATGATTGTTGGGGATTGGATTGCTTAGAAACTCAATTTTACTCAACGTCAACGTGTTTTTCACATAAAATTTACTATGTTTCTTGCTTTGATTCTGTTATCAATTTGTACCATCCGCGTCAAACCACACATTATAACTCAGAAGTGCTGTAGTGAAAGTCACACAATTAATCATTACCTGTAATCTAAACTCTCCCTTTTTGTCGGTGTAGCCCTGGTCGAGAAGATCATCAGGATCTGGTCCTATAATACTCATACGATCATTATTCTCAGACACTCAGAAAGAGTGCTTAAAGTAGAAGGCA